TTAACTAACGAATTACGTCAGTTGAAATAGACCTGATTATGAAAATGGGTCAGTCATCAAGTCAAATTTTCAAACATCAGTGTCAATATGACAATCAACGCTAAATTTCAACACCTTAGCACGTGGGAATAATGCAATGAACAGTAAAACCAGCTCAATGAGCTTGATCGTTTATCACTAACTTTAAGAATTTGGGTGTAAGTGATTAGACATTTTATTTCCACCATTTACGTAAAAAAAATTCTCCCATTTCCCAATTCCCAATGTTCAAAATGAAATAAAAAATTCATGAACAGAGGAGATAAAAAGCTCAAAGAACCCCCATTTTCAACATTTTACATAACCTTTCAATGGCGCTGGATCCATGTACGCGACAATATGCCCAGTTATATCCCAGGAATTCCATTATTCCATTATGAAAATCTCAAATTTAACAATTAACAAACAATATAAATTGTTTCTGCGCATTTTATAGCTTTTTCCTTGGAACAACCTAATGTTTCTCTCCAACAGCAGTATAGTGTAACAGCTAATGCTACACAGTTCTCAATTACTTTCGGCAAAAATCAAAATTTAGCTTTTTACTTTACAAAATTGATAAATTTTAATCATTCATCTTATAATATGATATTTTTAACTCTTTACTTTATAAATTTGATAGGTTTTAACCCATCACTTTACAAAATTGGTAAGTTTTAACCCTTCACTTTATATTATGATATTTTTAACCCTTCACTTATATAAATTGAAGAAAATAACTCTCACTTAATATTAGATTACAATATTCTGTTGGTTCTGTTAACTGACTCTTAACATCCGTTAGCATTTCGTTATAAAAAACATGAAATTTAATTTTAATTTTATTTGTTAGTTCCATTAATGAAATGATAATAAAATTGATAATCAACTAATAGAACTAACGGAATATTATAACATAATATTAAGTGAAAGAGATAATAGGTTAAAAGTATTATAATATAAGGTGAGTAGCTAAAAGTGTCATAATACAAGGTGATTGGTTGGAACTTATTAATTTTGTAAGGTGAGGGATTAAAATCTACTAACTTTATAAGATAAAAAATTAAAAGT